TTTTATGACTCTACGGAATAAAAGTTCAGCCTTGCAATGGACTGGTAGCAGAGTGGAATGCCTAGGCAACAAATCCTCTTAAAGCCAGATCATAACGAAAGCAAAAGATGAGTCGACAGACAGATGAAAAATAAATAAAAGTTAGTAAACAGAAGTAAGTTTCGAGTTTAATGCCAAACAAAATCGCAAAGTTAAGCTGAGTGAAGCGGCTCCATCAAAACGAAAAAAAGTAATCAAACTGCACGTTTTGTCAGAGTAACACCTACAATGTGAATTGTGTTTGTCGAGTTGATAAGTTTCCAAACATTTGCTTCTCCTCAAATGTTTGGAAGAGGCGTGAATTAGACCAATTCTTTTTGAATTTGTAAGTGGTTTTTACAGGCAGAAGGATGTCAAAACACACCAGAAATGAGCTGAGAAGCAAGGGTGAATTAGAACTATACAGAACCGCAATGCATAGCAAAGCTGACCATCAAGAACAAATAAGTAAATACACACATTTAATGGTACCGTTGCTGTTAACGTGTTAAATAATGGACTTTCAAAATAGTTTTTTGGGATATATTGAAATTCCTTATTAGTTCAAGTGTATAAGGATTAAAAAGTTGGTTATATGAGAAAGACCACAAATTCATGCATTTGGAAGCGATATTCAAACTTTAAACATTGGGAAAATATCTTTCAATGTGAATGTTGTCCTGAAAAGGGTACCTTGCTCAATATGGAATGACTGATAACATAACTATAAGATGGTTAGTTAAGCATACGAAACCCTTACTCTTTTTATGGACCTACGGCTACTGCTTTAGCCGTAAAAGTTATGTTTCCTTTTCAGCCCATTCTAAGTACACAGTTTAAAGAACTTCCCTTCCTTCGGAACTATGATGAAGTAGATCAAAAGGTGATCCATGTAAAAGAGAGCAAGACTTCGCGTCTAGCTGGCTATTTTTGGCAAAAAAGACCTCGAAATGGATAAGTAGTACTAAAACAGATTAAAAAATTCGCCAGAAGGAAGAGCAGAGAAAAACGCAAACAGGATCTGAGCACGTATTAAGATGCATTTAAAAAAGACAACGGGGGCCAGTTATATTTCCTTTACAACAAAAGTCACTTATGCAATGGCAAAAACAGCATTTTGAGGGCACTGTCTTTAGAAAACCCAGGAATTCGACACCAGCTTTATAAAATCAGGATTAGCATCATGAAGCTAACCAGCAGACGAAAATGGCATGGATGGTTCCGTCGTCATAAAAATGACGAATCCCAAGGCTCTTAGTAAAATGGTGGTAAAACAGTGGCATGAATGAAGAAACGCAGTCAGAGAACAACTTACAAGAAACGAGACAAGCCCTTGAACACAAAAAGCGCGGATTAACAGAAACTACGAGCTTATTGGATAAAATGGTCCTCCAGCAAATTTTAACAATTAAAACACAATTAATAATTTTTGCCTATAATACATAAAACTCAGCAAAAATTATATAATATATATATAATATATATATATAATATATATATAATATATTTAATTTTTTCGTTTTTTGGTTAATACAGGCAAATATTTTTTAGACATTGAATATAATTGCGCAACTGCAGTAAAATATTGTAATGTGGTTTTTTTTAGGCTTTTAAAGCCACAAACACTGTTACTTTTGCTCATATTAAATATTCACGATTCGTATTGGGTACACTCTGGGTCAGTTTCTATGACCACTCAATCTTGCCACCAAATAGGTTGCATTAAAACATGTAATACATAGCCTTTCGTCAGTTTGAGAACTGTCCCTAGTGCTTTTCTTGGGTCGTGTCTCTTTTGCATTCTACTTTTAACCTCCTATTATATGTACTTTTTCATAGCATTTAAACTGCGGTGTTTCAGTAAAATGACGCCTTTTGTTCTTTTCAAACACTAATGGTTTTACTTAGATCCATGTGCTACAGGCTTCAAGGGCTAAAATGCTTTTAAGGGCTGCCGTTCTATTTGGCAATGTATGTCTTTTGCCTGGCCTGTGAGAGGTGTAGGTGTTCATGTGTAAGGCTAAAACTTGTCTCATTTCTTCTCTTAGTCTCAGTCTATGCTCCGAAGCTTTTTTTAAGTCACCAGTGACAATTTTTCTTAGTGTTTATCTCAATTTAGTTGCGTTTTTGCCCTGTTTACTGGCTTGTATTTATGAAACTACACAACTTTGCCAACTGGTTATTGTTGGACAGGTCCTGACTTTCTTTTTGCGGCCGTTTGTAGGCTCTATTTCCTTGAGCAGTCTGTAGATTCAAAAAAGCTGATCAAGTGTTATAGAAACAGACATTACGTCGGGTTTTCTACCATACCTGCGTCTTTCAGATAATCATTTAATGCTATTTTCAAATTGGTAGTATGCTTCCAAATATCCCTACCGAAGATAAGTATGTTTTAAAATGTTTTGAAATTATCCTCCCTGGACCGCTTTGCATAAGTCGTTGAAAGGTGAATGCTGCATTGCAGAGTCCCAAAGACAACGTCTGGAAATCTATCTATTTCTGCCACTTTTACTTGCCACTACCCTTATTTTAAGTCCAACATGAAGAACCGCCTTGGCACGTGTAGAAAATCTAGTGGGTTGTATATTTGAAGTAAGACGAAGGCCCTTTTCCTCGCTACTATGCTTGGACTTCTGCAGTCACACCAGTCTCTTCTACCTTCTTTTTCCTCCCTTAAATTGCGAAGACCGGTTAGAGGAAGACATGCATCGTGACGTTTATGTAGATCAGACCATCCTTCTTACTAAAAAGTTGCAAGGAGGAGGAGAAAAAGGAGAAGGTATAGGATGTAAACTTTTAACTTCTCCATCGAACGTTGATATTTGAGTGACATACTCCCAGTGATCTCTGGATTTTGTAACTCTGACATGAATCAGGCTCCCACGCAAAGCCTCTTATCCCTTCTTGATAATCTCCTAATTTCAAATTGCTACATTAAAATGTTAATATTTAATCCATATTTGACTACGCCTGGAAATGGGTTGCCTTCTCTGTCACTCCGGATACATAAAACCTCATTCTACTTACTCTCATAATCTACTAAGTTGAGTCATGGCTAGGGGCAATGTAACGTGCAGGCACGTTATGGCTCTAGTGTATACTGCTCTACGTCACTTGTTTGTTTAAATCTCAGGTTTGGTAACGGGCTACTTAGGGTCGCCGCCATTGCTCATCCCCTGGGCGGTTTGGCCTCTGGGCCATGTTTGTAGCCCTCGAAAATACATATCCTGCCCGAGTATTATATCTTCTTTCGTCTTTATGGGAGTCTCCAGGGGCTACATTTATAAAGTGATTGTTAACTAATCATTGATTGGCCAACAAAGAGCGGTAAATGTCAAGTAGCCCGTGGTGGAATGATTTAGCGACGCTAAATCCCTAAATTCCCAACTCGTTTGTAAAAGATTTTTTCATGATCACGATAAATCATAATAATACATATGAATGCAGCAGTCAGTACAAAAAGCAGAAGTGGATGTCATGATGGCTACGGAAGGACATGAAACACCAAATTGCGCGGTGTCGTCCACCGCATCACATGCTACTTATAAGTCCAATCCGCCTAGCTATTTTTTTGGAGCTTCGCTTCACCTCCAGTTGAATCAGATCGAAGCACATGGCTACCATAGCCAGCCCGAAGAGAAGGTAGATAATGGCTGCGATGAATTTATTCATCCTATGCACTGGATGTGGATCATCCATACCGGGAAGCATATCCCCAAATCCGATGGTGGAGACGGTGACAAACACAAAGTACATGGCATCCAGGAAGGTCCAGTGCTCCCAGTATGCAAACACTAGGGCGCCGAAAATCAAGTAAAGAATAAAAAGACAAAGAATTATCCACACTGGGACCCGTACACTTCGACTCTCCTTTCGTGCTTGAAGGGCCTTGGTAAGGACAGAATTGGATCCAGCCAGAGTCATGAAAAGGCTATTTGTGATACCTGGAAGAGGTGCTGTCTTCCTCACCAATTCCTGCAGAGCCGAGGTCTTTTTAACTCCTCCTCCTCGAAGGACTTTAGGCGAATCATTGAATGCTGCTCTTCCAGGTATATCTCGAAGTGGTAAAAGTGGAGTGGAGCCATTGTCAGAGGGTTTATTAGAGCCACTTGCAGTTGCGCAAGATGTAGAAGGAATCGGAGATGGAGAATCGCGTTTTTTACCTGACGTAAGACAGCAACACAGAGATTTATAGATCATTCGGAAGATATCCGCCATCAGACTACCCAAATTAGCGAGAAAGAGAAGCATCATTGGAATCCCGAAGAGACCGTAGAATATGGTTGCTAGACGACCGTATCTTGTCACCGGAACGACCTGTCCGTAGCCTAAGGACGAAGAAAGGAGATTTTCGGTTATACTCTCCCACAAGAAGAGTACTTCGTTTCTCACCGAGTGCTTGATTAATTGGTTAATACATTCCTCGCCCCATACATTGAAGTTCTGCCTCAAGGCTTGGCAAGCAACTAATTAAAAGGCGGGATGACCAGAGGGATAGTTTTCCTTTGAAGCAGACGTAGTTATGCCTGAGGTGGAGAATCTAATTGGAAGAAGTGAATATTCAGTGGGTGGGGACGAAAAAGAAGGTTAAAGAAGAGTTCAACGTTTTTGTGGTTTCATTGCAGAAACAATGAAGAGGAGGGAGTAGGAGCGGAAGTAGAAGGGAAAGAAAAATTCCACTTGTAACGATTTAGACATGTCATGGGACTAGTTGCAGCATTACAGGGCTGGAGGTAGTTGAATTCCTCCACCGGTTTCGGTTCCATACATTAGAGGTTCTGTGACCAGACCAGAGTCAGACTTTATACTTGTCTGTCCAGACAAGCATGAAATCCAGTTACAAACTGGATGCCTCAAATGCTAGGGCAGAAATCTGATGCAATAATTTAATTCCATTTTCCAGAAATTAGTTCCCTCTCAATGGTCCCTCCTATGACTCACTTTACAATCGGTTCCGCTGCATTAACGGTTATGAGGGAAGCACCTTATTCTTGCACCAACAGATGAGACAAAAGGTGAATGGAAATGAATTCCCCGTGCTTCTACTTAACCTCCGATGATCGCTATCGTGGTGTAAATATCAGACTAATGAAATTCCAAAGGTCATAACCACGAGAGACCAAGTCGGAGCCCGGGAAGGAGGCGACGGCAAGGAGGGAGGAAGCGAGAGGGTAAGACATGGAGAGTTGGGGGAGAGCAATGAATCATTCCCACCCCTCACGCATAAAAGGCAATGTAGACTCGCAATTTCTTCGCCTCGGGCATAAATATTACACGAGGCAAGGCAGCTTATTTTGACCACTAAATACAACCTTTTTTCCCTTAAAAAATGAAATTCAAAAGGTGTTTAAAAGGGGTAACCCTTACACGATGAGGTGACCCAATATTATCGATTTTATGTCTGACAGTTGACTTAGGTAAATAGCTGGAAAAAACAACAGAAAATTAAACAAATACACAAAATGAAAAGATTCCATTTATAAAGCAACCCCACTTGTTAAAGCCATTAGGTGAGGGAGGCGTGTGGGGGGGGTGGAATCCGGTAGGTTAGTGGTGTAGTTTGGAGTGAAGGCTCTCCCCGAACAAGCAAACTTGTGACATTCTGGCATCGATACCGTATGCGGTGGTCTGTACCTTCGCTATTCCCCAATGCCAAATGTGGACAGCGTTTAGAGTAGGTGGTGGAATGTCAGGTCCATGTCATTTGATTTGATTGAGGAGTCACCAGAGGATAATGCGTCATGATGTGAATAATATGGACCGTTAGATAATGGCAGTGACAAGAGCAACCTTCATTCATTCAGCACGTGGGTGGACTTACACTGACAAAAAAGCGGTAACACATGCCTAACCAGTCCACCTATCGAACATTTGACAGAAAGCCTCTACATTTGAGAACTTGAGTTAATTGCGACTCTTTAGGTAGGGAGGATCAAATTACCCAGTTTTGTTTAAACCGAGAGTGGAGAACACAAAACACACTTAAAAAAAACACACACCCACCCCTATCCCTTCTTGAAGGCCCAATTTTCAGCATATGCCATCCGATGGGAGGAATATTTACAAAACATGTCATGACAATTTGACAAATGATAGAAGTTAGCACGACATGTCGAGCATATTTGAGCATGTAATATATGCAAAATAATTTTCCAATTTTTGTCTTGTATAAGGAAACCTCAAATGTGCACTCGTTGGCACAATTTATACAAAGTCTGGCCACAAAGGGTAAGGGAAAGAAGTGACAAGGGAGACCCAAGCTGGGGTAATTGCGAAAGTACTTAAGCCTATCTGCTTTTTCATCTGCGCAGAAGTAGAGGTGGAATGTAGAATATTTCATGTAGAATTTAATTTTACTGCGCTGGAAGTGAATCACCATCATCACCATCATGACTATCACCAACAACATCGTTTCATGTCAGTAAATGCGCATTTTCGTGGGGGTGGGTTTGCTGACAGAGGAGTAAAATTTAATGGAAAGATTTTATAATCTAAAAGGAGCTTCTCTTCTAGAGTTTTATTTTCCTTTGTTTAATCGCGTGAGCCTCTTTTAAGCCTCCTTGTGATGATGGCATCAGAAACGGGGTTAGTGACTAGCTTTGAGCAATCCTTAAGGGATGAAGTCGATGGGTGCGTGCAGAAGGTCCGCCCTTGAATCGGTAGGTCGCCAAGGTGGAAGTGTCTTCTTTCACTTAGGGCAGTTGATCAATCAATTAATCATAAAATTATTTAATCATTCACTCCTTCATTTTGGGTCCTTTCCCGATTTATTAGTTCATCCTTTTGCCCCAGATCTATTCATTCATCTCCCGATTTACTGACTCAATCATTTGTTCATTCATTCATTCATTCATTCCGGATTCAAGTCCAATTCATTCAACCAATTGTTCTCAATTCCTTTTTCGTATATTTGATTAACTGATTGGTTCATTATTTAATTCATTAGTTCATCCCAAATTTGATCCTTAATTCCGCCATTTACTTATAAAGCTTTTATTCATCCAATCAAAATTAAGGCAATGGTTAATAATTTATTCTTATCAGGAAATTATTTAGTTCTTTTTATTTCTGCATTTATAAATCAACAAGGCAGTTTGGGAGTTATTAGTTCACTAGATTATTTAATCAACCAATCTGAAAGTCATCCATTTCATCAAAAACATAATTGTCGAAGAATTAATAAATCACTTTTTCAGGCCTTTGTGAGGATTTCTGTGTGTCTAGTAACCAATCGACGAGGCACTTTAGTGGTCACTATCTAATACGCGTGTGTTTGAATGAGTCGTCTAGGCAGGAGGCGGTCAGTCGACGCGATCCTTGTGGGGATTTGGATGCATTCGACTTCGCGGACCACACATAATCAAGCTACCTGCAGCACTTTTATTGCCGCTACCCACTGAAGCCAAGTCTCGTCTAAATCGTTCTAGGAGTATGAAGGCTAATGTGTGAGAGGAATACCGCGCCTATTACAATTAATTTATCCTTCCGTATCCGTTTATCCATTCATCCATTCATTTATCTCTCTTCCTACCTCAGGGGTGATTATAATGCATTTCTCTGCCTTCGGGTCCCCCACCAATTAATGGTTCACAATCGGCCATGTCTACCTGGTATGTCTGATGTCCTGAAAAGGTGGTAATCATTGAATAGTAGGGAAAGTATAAAAGGAGCGCTGCAGAGGAGGAGGTGGCGGGACACTGTCATACTTTTATCTCATCCTATCCATCCCAACACAAACTGCAAGTCCTTTAGTTAGTGAAGCCATGGAAATGCGTCCCGTTACCATGTTAGAGTGAAGTATTTCGTCTACTAAATCTTTGCTCTGTCAAAAAGGAGGGATTTTTTCCCACATTCTGCTTCAACAGAATGCTTTTCGGGGAAACAGTTAGTCTACAATCCACATACACACACACACACATACCAAAAATGGCCCTCTGGGAACGGAATGCTGCCCTAAATAATGTAAACTGGGATAGCGATCGAATTCCTCAGGGGGATAGCCAATGATACGTTGGTTCATTCATTCGTTTAGACCCGTAATACACATCTCGCCTTTGGTCGGATGCCAGTAAGTCAACAAAAACCCTTCCTTAACCAAGTTTGGGGACAAAATTTCTGTAAGGGCCAGGCAACTGCCCCGACTCTAATTCAGCGCCTAGCTGGAATACTGTGGTATTGAGAGAGATGGGTCTTCAGCCTACCATAAAACGCAGAGGTCGGGGTGGAAGGCAAGAAGGTAGTGGTAGGGTGTTCATGAGGAGGAGAGGTCTAAACTCTTCCGCGGTTTAGTAAAATCTACCTACTCTTCTGACGAGATTCGAATGCTGCACCAAAGGACCAGGAGGGTTAGACTGACTGATGCTTGCACCGACAAAGTGAAAGGCATCACATCTAACTCACCGATAGTAGTAATTACGGTGATGACGTAGAACAGCGAACCACTCAGTGTCCACGGATCTGTTCTAGGGGTTCGACTCTTCCACATCGACTCTTGACTCGATGGAGAAGACATAACCCTCGGAGTAGATCGATCTTTACTATCACGAGAAACTGCGAGTGTTGTCGATGAAGGCGGTGGTGGTGGCACCCATCCAGCACGAATAGCTTCATACACTGCTCGCACGAAATTGCTTAATAAATTAGGCGGAGCTACTTCTTCAGGCATCTGACGACTTCTCATCGGGGCTAGGAGCCCTTTAAATGCGTGAATCTGTGAGGTAAGGTTAATTTCAACTGCTTGGGTGAGAATTTTTTCCAGCATTTGGGTTTCGCCGATTGCATTGAGATCATCCACCTCCTCTCTAAGCTGTCTTAGCTCGACTTCACGACCTTGTAAATACTTGGGAGTCTGGTTGTTTTGAAGCCGCTTCACTTCACTTTGAAGGGCCTGCAGTTGAAGATCCACGCATTGGAGAGCCATTTGCCGAGATGTAGGTCTCATCTCCCGTCCAAGGTCTCGTCTGACCCGATATACTCCTCCAGTTAGTTGTTCATAAGTTGATTCCACCTCCATCACCTCACGATTCAGACGCGATTGTTGAAACTCTCTTTCCAGATAGGTGAAAAGAAATGTGCCACCAATGAGGTAAAGGACAATCAGTATCAGAAGACCTATCTGAGAGCAGGTAATGGCAAGGAACTTGCGTAGGCACCTGTACCTCGACCTAGGGTGCGGGGCATTCGCCAACTCAAAGTCACCATAGTCTTCACCTCGATGTCGACCAGTACAGCAACACCGGCAACAGCCGTGACCACGACCCATTATGCTAGAGGAATGAAGTACCTCAGCCCCAGAGTTAAATATTAACACCTCGTTTGACAACTAACCAATGATAGTCGTGAAGCCTTACGATTTGCGTGGATCAGGTTGCAGGGCTTGTGATTGGTCCACCACTACTCTGGATAATCTGCTTTGTGCACGTAGGCCACTTGTGGGCCCTGACAACGAGACATGACATAAGTGGTCTGCTTATACCAAGGAGGGATTTTTATGTCATTTTATCAATAAAAGCGGGTGGCAAACAAAAATAATGAGTAGGGTCATTTGTTGACCTTTGACCATCTCACTTCATTATTAGGTTAAGGGAATGGGTGACTTGATGACAAGTAATACTTACCAGTTGGATGACAAATCAGTTCCAGAAATTGATCACTAAATAGGAGATATTAATTGGGGACCGAGGAAACCCTGTCGAAAGCCAAGTCGTGGACGGAGGTGACAAGTACCGACACTTGCTGGAGGAAACCAATGAAGGACGGTCGATTGTTGAAGTAGATTTTGTTTTTCCTCCCATTTCGGTTTTTACTTAGGCAAATGATCATATAGGAAGCCTCGAGATTTAAATGTACCCTCTAAGTGAGCCTTGTCAGACCCCCCAAGTCAACAGGCAATAGTCGTTCTGACCTGGACAACTATCAATTTTTCACACTTGTTAGTTGAAATATCCCTACTGACAGTTGTCCAGTTAATAGCTAAAAAGGGAGGAACAGCCGCGTTTGCTGTCAACCAGACGTGCCAGACAGTGACTGTGTAGAAGGGTTATTACCAGTGGTCAGAGAGGACTGCCCTTTAATTGACATCGAGACAATAAGTCAATGACACGGGGCTAGGCAATCGACAAAGGAGAATTTATCTTAGGAACTGAGATACTTTAAATTAACAATTTGACTGACTCGATCTGTCAGCGAGGTTATTGCTGAATAAAAATAATCGCCAGAGTTTGTAAATGCAATCAATTATGCTTAGGATAAGCAGACTCCTTTTTGATTGACAGCCAATCAGTGACAGTTAATCGAATTATCCTAGAAAATCCCTCACATTATATTTTTCTTTTCAGGTGGTCAAGCATCAACTTTAAAAATGGTTTATTTCTAGATCACAGGTGATGAATGACTTTATTGCGAGCGAAAGTGTCCATCCTACTAAATGGGTGAAAAATGATTTGGAGCTGTCATTTAGGTGGTGGTGAGAACAACATCATAACCTTCTCAGACTTTATCAATGGAATAAAATGTGTTTCATTAGGGCTTGTAAAAGACCTTGCTATCTTAATGGTAAAAGATATCTTGATGGATGGAGTTCCGTTCAAATGGGGCCGACAATGCAACGTACATCTTGAATCGAGGAAAAGAGCCAATAGCGTCCGCTGTTAGCAGATGGTCGAAAAATCATCCGAAATAAACTTAAGGCTCTAAGAAAATCAGATGGATCACTTCCAATCAGCCTTCATGCAACTCTTTCCGACTATTGCTCTTCTCCCCTACCCGTGGTCGTGGCTGTAGATGGCTAGACGTCGGAGGTGGCCTAGACGCCCCTATAATGAAGTTACGTATCGCTTCAGGTTTCAAGAGCCTGGAGAGTCATAGTTAACGGAGGTAATGAGCTAATTGTCTGACATCCACATCAAATTGGGGCAGAGGAAGTGGTGGCTGAAGGCAGTAGACAAGTAGGCATTACATGCAGTACACGAGTTTTCACTGCCTTACACACCTTAACTAAACATGTGTTTAAGGGAAAGTTTTTTCCCATACTGACTTGACTAGCGGGCTGGTACATTATTAGCTCCATAGTTAGAAGACTGGGCACTTTAAATGGGGGTTGTTGCCTTAGTGAATACCAAACAACAATTGCTCCTCCAGGAATTGTGATACCCTCCGATACCACAACCCGGAAGGGGGGAGAAGGAGGCCCACTGAAGCCGCCTTTTCAGTAACAGACAAAGCGATTAAAAATGGTCATTTGGTTAGTGGTAAGATCAAAATGAAATTTTACATGGGAAAAGATTTTACATGTGGAATGGAGAAAGGTGCTGCATTTTCTCACTCACCACAGTTCCCTCCTTCTACCACCCCGAGTAATGCTTGTCAATTTTGACATTCCGAAACCAACGCCGATTTGAACTCAGATTGGAATCACCTAATTGGTCAGGAGGAAGTTGGAAGGCATTCCATGCCAACCTATAGTCACACTGTGAGGTCAAGGTCACTCAAACTGCTATGAATACTTAAGAATGTCTACGTTCCGACCGCAGGCTGTAATCTTGGGCATATCCACTGTGTTTGATTATGCCAGCTGGGAACTTAATGTAATTTGTACTCATACGCATATCCAGATTGTGCTGGAGGTACCCACGATCCCCCAAAACCGTTCTTATTTTAATTTTCCTTTTTTTTCATTTTATAACTTATTTCTCGTACCTTCTAGAAACCGCACTCTTGATCCCGCATTTTCTGATTGGCTAATGGGCCAAGGTCAACTAGTGACGATAAATACCTTTGATTAAGCCGACTGTACCATAATTAAACTCCCCTGGACAGATTCCCGATTGGGTAGCAAAGGTAACGAATAATATGCCTCCTTGATTAATAAACTTCTACATCAGACTTGCAAACAGTGATCGAAGGGCATTGAAAACTCTCTGGATGCAGACGAGTCTTTGAAGCACAAACTAACAAATTTCTCAGAAAAGAAGGGGAAAAATATAAATAGGTAGTGGCGAAAAACGCTACCTACCAGAATTAATGGTAGAGGGAAATGTAGAGTTCTGGGAACTGCAAAATCCCTCCCCTCTGCCACCACCTACGACATTTAAAGCAAAACACAGACATGCTACAGAAGTGTGGAATTCAATGACAAAAATGCAATTACTTTTTCTACCACCCCAGAACTCACAAGAAAGAAGCAATTTAAAATTTATTTTACAGGAAATTTTTATGGATATTTCACTGTCACGTTCTTTCCCTACTTCAAGTGTAGTATTTAAGCAATCCAGTTGGTTTGATGTTAACCAGCCTGAATTACGCTTTGCTAGAAGGTTTTTAAGAGGAGATAAACAACAGAGAAGGAATGCGACATTACAAAAATTGTGGTTGAAGGAATTTGGAACCAAGGATCTTGAATAAGCCGGTAATTAACTGAGAGTTTGAGTCGCCTAGGGAGATCCAATTGACAGAGAAGAGCAAACCACTCTATGATGTGAGAGGTGGATCTAATACCAAAGGTGTGCAGAGTGAGCCTGATTCTATTAGGAGGCATCAACTTGGAAGGTCTTACTACTTTTTGCAGCCCCTACCGAACCACGAAGTTGTGTTGGAAAGTGGGGAGAGGAGAGTGTGACTGGGACTAGGTGTAGATCGCACCGGCGATTATTTCATAAAAAAGTAGTTCTCTGCAGGCGCTTCCTCTCTCTTAGAGACAACCGGTCCTCCTATTTGCTCAACAGCCAACTTTTTGTCCGCCGGCAAATTGGCCTCTGCGCCAGTTGTTTTGATGCTTAGTCATTCTGTGTAGTCTTGGTAACCAAGATGCATGATAAACTTTTCGTTTCCGCTATCTTACTCCTTCACTCTTCTTTTTTTCAGCTGTGGATAAATAAGTTGGCAGTTATAAAAAGGTAGCCAAATAACCACTGAAAAGTACTTCATTGGTTGAAAGAATCTCCACTACAGAAGGAAAGCTGTGCCAGTTACCCACTAAACGAATGTCACTTACATTTCATGCATGCAAAACAGCTGATAGTAAACTTCAAAGGAAATTTAGCATTTTGTGCTTCACTTCTTTTGTGCACGTTAAGAAACGTACAGAGGAGGTTGAATTGGTTGACGGCTGAATGAATGACTGGCTGGGAGTGGCAAATGCGTTGCGAAGTTGAGCGAACCAATGCATCAGTGGTTATTGCCAACTCCACACACCTAAGACAGGCAACACCTACCTGCTTTGTGCAAGGAAGAGAGAATGGCCGTCAAAACAGTCAGTACTCTTCACTTAGTCGACGGGGAGAACGCCTTGTTTTTACACAGCCCACGGCTTAAGACGGCCGCAGTAGTTACCTTTGGGAGGATTTATGCTTTCGATTGGAAAGAAACAAGATGGAATGGCTCCAGAAGGATTTGGCATCTCACATCATCACCTTTAATTTAGTCTAGCTGATCAAACTTCGGAAAGAAAAGACAGTTGAGAAATAAAAGGAAATCGAAATAAGATGCAGCTGGAGCTAGATTAATTCCTTTTAGAGTCAAAACTTTTTATCAAGGTGGTAATTCGATGCGTAACGTCTCGTAGCGAAGGGATTACAGGGTGCGATAGGGGATAATTACACTGCATAAAAGAGGCTAGGAAGCTTCCAGCAGTTACTTCATTATGACATACTACTAACGCAGAAAAGTGGTTGGTTACCCCGTGCTTACCCTTAATAGCTTGCAGAATTCTCCTCCATTAATTCTAAGAGAGCTAGGAACTTTAAAAATATCATTGACCTTCTCCACTGTGGGTGTGTCTATCGTTAAGGGGCTGAGGTTAATCCCCATTTTATGCAACAAATTCCGAAATTCTTCTAAATCATAATAAAAGGAACCATTCTTCATCTTCTGAGAAATTCACATTGATAAAGCACCACACTCCATTGATCTTTCTCTGACGATTTTAAAAAACTGCCCCAAGGTTGAAGAACCTCAGAGATTGTAATGGGGTGTATTAAACAAAAAAGTCTGTTATATTCGCCTTATCAACACAATTAAATTGTTTATTTACATGCTTACTCGATGTAGCATTTGTATGTCTTTATTTAAATTATTACTCGAACTTTCTCAGTTCAAATCTCTTGTAAGATCTGCTTTACTAGGAAAAGTTCAGCGACCAATTTTCTAGGTAAGAGGATACAATCCACTCGAGGAAGCAAAAATGGGAAAAAACTTTTCAAACTTGTGCTGTTTAGGAAAATATGCGTTACATTTTTTAAGTGACCGTTTAAATTACCTAATTTTTGACCTTAGATACTAAAAATAGCTGCACTTCTCCACACCTGTTGGTTTTTGTGCATAGATGACAAATCTCTTTTAATTTCCACCTGCTGCCTTACGCATTTATTGACAAGGCAGCAAATGACGGTGGCAAAGTTATGGCATTCAAGAATGGCAGGTGGGAGCAAGTGATCTCGGTACCGAGTCAGCCGCCTAGCATCAACGTTTCCTTTCATATTTTTTTCTCGAAAAAGAATAAAAGTGGGTAGGGCCAGTTTTTGTGAACACGACGCCTCGAGTGTATCATAAAGTCGTCGTAGCATGGGAGAAGATAGTGTAACGTCCCGAGACTCCCTGAAGACGAAAGAAGACACAATACTCGGGCAGAATATATATTCAGCACAGAGGAGGTGTCTGGGCTATTGACATGGCCCGAATGGCCAGCCCACCCATCGAGGTAGAAGGGGGCTAGTTCAAAGTACAAAAGTGGCGCCTTACCAATGCCGAGGGATAAACCACTATTGCATTACAATGGATTACTGCCGTACGGGATGACTGAGAGGCTGCTGGCATGACCACTTAGAGGAAGTACAATCTGCCGCCACTTAAGCGTCTGCGTAACTGGACACGGAGTCAAGCGAACTCTTAAAGCATTACATTAAATGCCAAAGACTGATCCCCCCTCTAGCCTAGATGGTTTTAAGGGCGAATTTTGCCTATGCAGAATCCATTAGGCCACCAAACAATTTTTCCGGTAGGAATGAGAGGTGTCTTGATTATATGTCATTAAATGTAGGCATTTTTGTTTACTTAAGAAGCCAAACCTTTGGACTATAACGTATTCTTTTAATTTTTCATGGATATTCTTGGCGCAAAAAAGTTGTAAAAGTTATCTGCAGCAGGCGCCTTTTGTTTGGTTTTCGTAGCCCAACCGCAGAGTACCTCAAACTCCATCAGATTTCACGCCAAAGAAATATATTAAAGACATATGGCTCTTTCTGAAATACAGTAACTATGATCAAAAAGATTATTTGAATAAAGTACCAGAAAATACACCAAAAAGTGGATTTGGTATGCTTCGAAGTGTTAACCTGTCGGATATTGCTGTCAGAACTCGGGATAACTCGGAGGACGTGAGGAAACGGTGTGCTCTTCCAAAGGCACTGACATCCAATTTGGGTAGAATTGATCACACAGCAGTGGTAAGGGAGGTTCTACGCGCCTAAATTAGCCTTGTGGATGTCACCTTGTGCAGGCAACTTCAAACACATTGGGGGGGGATGAAGGACACCGAGGTGGCTCCTGGGCCCTGTCAGCTATTCTACACTGCGAACGCTCAAGTAATCACATGTAAAGCCTGATCGTGGAGAATTGAGTCACCTCAACTTCTCATGTGTTGTCCTTCCTTCTGAGTGACTCACTGATCCTGGCTCCTTCCAAGGAAGTCTTGCCTGTACACGCTAGATTGGTATTGTATAGTCACTATGCCTTCTCAACTTCTGATGACAAGTTTCTGATGGCTTTGAGCCCGAAATGAGTAGGCGTTTGCTCCTCTCCATCAAGGTCAACCCGACATCTGGTAGCTTTATGCGAGGGTCCCACGCGTATAAACCATCGCCTACTCCTCACGTTTTCCCACAACTTGATACTATGGCCTAATCCATTCTATTACCTAGACTTACTTTTCCCTTTTTCAATTGTAGGAGGACGTCAAATCCTATAACATTTCCCATTGCTCATTGAATACATAACATCACTATTGTCGGAAGTTTGTTGTTTAAAATAAACCAACACAACCCGTGCTCCGTTGCATTGACATGGGGAGAAGGTGTAAATTAGAAGGGCACCAAGGCCTCTGGTGATCAAGGCGTACCCTAGCAGTCAAATAGTTCACTTAAACAAATTTTAATCCGTTAGAGTTTCAAAAATAGCAGGTTTATGGCCATTGTTAGTACTAATTTCGTTGTCAACTTGATGCTTTTTATAATGCGCATTTAGGCACGTGGACCGCTCAATTTCTGGACTCAAAGGGTGGGAGGAGGGAGGCGAAGGGTGGTGCTTGTCCATCGACGGAATGGACTTTTGTTAGAATATCTAGCCTTTGTCAGAGAAGATCTGTCGTGACATCATGGCTGTACTTTTAGTGGCCACTTTCCAAATTGGCATCTGCTGACTCCTACCGATGGCGTGAATGTCATTACTAAGTACACAGTCAACTCGTTCTTGACCAGTAGACGATTCAAGTCACAATGGAACTGTCCCAAACAAACCCCAATTGACGCATCATCACCTTGACATTTTTTGGCCTTTCTCGTGGCAGATGAAACTTCGCTGAAACCGTAACAGAAGTCGGATCGCAAGGGCATTATAAAAAGAGGAGAAAAAACGTCTATCGCAAGGATATGCGTTTAATAAAATTAGCTCTTCAGCCTTTGAAATTTAATCGCCGTCACGATGTTAGAACCGCCTGTTCAAGTCCAGGTTTCTTCTATCTGTTGTATGCTTTATAACGTCACCAGTGGTAAAAAAGTGAAAAGATCAACTTCCATTTCCTTCTGAAGGGCGTGGATAAATTTCATTATCATTACTTAGCTAAAAAAAAATATCTCCTTCCTCTCAAGTCGATGGTAAAGTGCAAAGCAGAAAAGGAAATAAAAAGTGGGGGTTTTTTTATAAGAAAAGAAAGTGTATGACAAATACTACCAGTGTCAAAGAGGTGATTCGCCTCCGGTTTAGGTAAGGACTGCAGATATTTGGTTTCCCTTTTAAAATATTTCTTCAGGACGGAAAGGTTGTTGGACAGACAGTGGAAACGCTTCTCGGTATCCATGATTCACAACTAACAGTAGGCTGAATTGTCACCTTTTTAACAGGTTCTTTAACCGATTGTCACTCGGCGTAAGCACACTACTAACATAAA